TATATATAAATATATATGGTACATATCCCATTAGCAGTTGTAATTGTAATATATTAGACTTTAAATAAATTATTGAGTTCATATCTTGAATTTAGGAGAATTTAGTAACTTTACTTTTAGCATCTACTAATGTATCTTTTTGTGCGTTTGAAAAAAATGTATCTGTCATATGATGGTGACAAAATGGAAGTTTTGCTGCTTCTGAGTTATATGCAGTGCCTTTTCCCTTATAATTAAAACTGTTTTTGTTTTGTATACATTTTTAGAAAGTAAATTAAAGTCCCAGCTTAGACTACGGTGATCCCTTTATCCACCGTCACATGGTAGCCTGCCCAGCAATGCTACTCCACAGGTCAGTGGGGCAGCGCTCACACTCACGCTGGAGCACCTGTTGGATTTTTTTTCTTTGTTTTGTTGCATTTTTTTGTTTAACTCAAGGAAGGGTATAGAGGACAATAAAATTTAGTTTCCTTATTGGCGAGTTTTGGCCCAGATTTGTGAAAAGTGAGTCATCAACTGGAGTTGCTAATAGCAAATGTGCACTTTCGTATTGTCTAAATGGGGTTGCCAAACTGTTAGGTTTGTAGATATGGAGTAGGAAGTAGAAGGAACCCCGTGTTAGAAAAAACACACAGGAAATACGCTATCACAGCATTAATTCTGTAAGGTTAGAGAATCATTACCATTTTAATGTGTTAGCAATGTTTCCATTGAAATCCTTCTGACTGTACCTTGAGAAGTGTGTCCTGTATAAGACAAATCCATGACAGGAGCAAGAATCCCAACCACAGAATTACAGCTTGTGTTTCAGTTCCCACACACACCCCAATGTTTTCTAAATCTCACGTTCTATTTTCCCATCAGTTGGCTCAAATGTGCCACCCTGTGTTAATTTTAGATTCTTCCATGACCTTTATACATCTACTTTTATTTCTCCGTGAAACACTTGAAAGGAAGCTATATCAGAAACATCCCGAGATTAAAATCAGTGTTCCATATATAGATTTTTAAAAAACGAGTGCTGGAATTAGGTTGAATGACACATCACCCCATCCATTCTATTCCGTGAGGTTCAAACAACATTGTAGTAACAAATTACTAATGCTTAATGAAAGGGAAGGAAGGAAGGAGCATGAAAAACTCCAAACTTACAGTACTTGCTGATAGTTTTATGAGCATTCCTGGGCCATACCAAAGAGCCCAGAGAATGGGCTTGAAGGATCTGTCTCTAACATGTAAATCCTTGAGGGCCAGGCCAGGCCAGGCCAGGCCACTGCAAGCACCCTGAAAAGCAAATGTAGTAAAAATGAAGAGTAGAAAGCACGAGTCCTTTAAGACTAATAGAAACTCTGATATTCTAATTTTATTTATTTATTTATTTATTTATTTTGGCACGATCTCGGCTCATTGCAACCCCCACTTCCCATGTTCAAGTGATTCTCCTGCCTCCGCCTCCCAAGTAGCTGGGACTACAGGCTCCTGGGACTACACTAGGCCCAGCTAATCTTTGTATTTATAGTAGAGACAGGGTTTCGCCATGTTGGCCAGGCTGATCTTGAACTCCCGACCTCAGGTGATCCGCCAGCCTCAGCCTTCCAAAGTGCTGGGATTACAGGCCTGAGCCGCCGTATCCAGCCTGATAGCCTAATTTCATTTCAGCACTTCTGCTTTTTTCTCTTCCTCAGTCCTCCTTCAATTATTTTCAATTGCGGAAAATGAAAACTAATTATAGAACTAATACAAGTAAATATCCTTAAGAATTTATTTTGGCATACCTTATAGAATAAATGATCATAATTTCAAACATGCAACTCAAATTCTTGGTTACTTTCTCTTTGAAAGTATTTAGTTGATATTGCATGCCCCAATTGTGATGCTATTTTCATTTTTTTCCCTTGACACCATAGTATTTGGATGTAAGCACTGAGGAAGAGATTTTTTCCTTTATTCAGAAGACTCAGACATTGAAACTCACTGTCCCATGCGAAGCTGCCTTCTAGTCCAGCCAGACTACACTGAGCTACAATTCACACTTGAGCTCCTTTCTCTGACCCTATAAAGTTTAAACTTTAATTGTCAAACAATTTTATTTGTAATGAGAAAATGTTTGAATTTATAATTTAAAAATATATCCTCTGAAAGAGAAGTACTCTAGAAATGAGATAAATTTTAGTAAAACTGATCATAGAATATGTTTCATCTTATTTTTAACTTTTCTTCTTTAATGATAACCATTGTACTTATCAAATATATTTTGAAACCACATAACAACACAACAGTTGAAAAGCAGCTTGCCGCTTATGTAAAATGTCATCAAAGAAGCAAACTAGTATTTCTGTAAATAGTAGTAGTATTTAATTTATGTTACCCATCTCTGCTGATTAAAGGAAGTATTCTCAAGGAAAAATTCAATCCAAGGTGTAGACAGAACTTTGCCAATCGATCTGTGTTCTTCAATTTAAAGAGTCTCAAGACGAGAAGCAATTTGGTATAGAGATTAAGAGCACAGGCACTGGAGGCAGACACACCTGAGCATAAATTCTGCCCAGGCCGGTCTGTGGTCCTTTGTATCTTTGGGTGAATCATTTAATCTCTCGGAACCTCAGTTGTCTTACCTGTAGAATAGCATAATATACCCATCTCACAGGGTTTTAGGGAGGATTAAATGAGACAATTCCTGTAAAGTGCCTTGCATGCTGCCTGGTGCATTGTAAGGGATACATAAAGGTATGCAGAAACAAAGAAATAATGTAAACTCCCATCAACGTTGTTTTCTGCTTCTATTTTAATAGAAGCTCTGTAGACATGATTTCTGGGGCAGGCTTGACTACGAGTAATATGTCTTGTTTTGGAAGGTGTCATTCACACAAAGTGAGAAAAATTCAAATACATTTCTGTCTCCATCCTGTGACCTGGATTCATTTCACTTCGGAGCACCTCAATTTTATTCTCTGATTATACATAAATGTAGACCTATTTGACTGTTTGTTGGAGACTTGTAAAATGGCCACGGCCGTTCACAGGTTACCTGCACAGGTCTTAAACGTGGCAAATGTATACATCTGAATTGATTTTCCCTTGCCACAAAACTCAGTTCTTGTTCTCAGTTGCTCTAAGTTCAATGAAATCAAAATCTTTTAAATAAAAACCCAAACACAACTCATAGAGGCAGGTAAATGTTGTCTATAATTTCAAACACTCTCAAGCCAACAGAAATGGGTTTTTCACTTATTTACTGAGCAACGATTAATCTGAGAATCTAAGTAAGTTTCTCCTGAGGCCCATTAGGATAAACACTTGAGAACTAAGTTCATAAGAAAAACAGTGCTGGAGCTGACACCCCAGCTTAAGAAGGCTTCATCTGAGCTCCTTGTTTCTGAAGTTTTTGCAAACTGCTTTGAAGCATCTAAACTTCCTGAGACAACATAAGGGAGTCAGAGTCATATTTGACGATCTCTCCTGTCTTCCAGCTTCCACCAGCTAACAGTTTTCTCATGTTGCCACCTACAAGCTTCTCTTCGAACTACTTCCATTTCCTTCCATGACTCTAAACTGGTGGGAACAACAATTACAAGGAAATGGCTATTCAGAATTTTTTATGTCCCACCTCTTACAAAGATTCATCGTCAAAATAAGAAAGGGACACCTGAGCTCTCTTTCATACTCTTTTCTGTGGGTTATTTGCCTTCGTATGAGCTTTCCTTGCAAAAGAGAGAATAATTTTTGTATGATCTTCAAGGAGGGAAATTCCTTTCTATCACCTTAAAGAATGATAGTGTTAAGGGGAGGGATTGTGTCATATTCATCTCTGTCTCCCTTACAACATCTGGGCAATGCCTTGATAATCACTCGATAAATGTCTGCTAAATTGTCTGCCACATATTGCAGACACTTTCATTATCAATAATTTCAATAATACACAGAGAATATATGGGTAGGTGTAATTAAGCAGATCCTTCCATCAAACAGAAGAGAAAGCACTGTGTACTACTCACCACACCACAGTGAAAATTGTAGAGAATTTGGACCAATGAATTTGCTGGCTAAAAACATTAGGAACATGTTTTTAAGTCTCCTTATCTGTAGATTAAAGACAGAAATACCTTAATTTATTAGATGGAATAAGAGAACACAACTAAAGTGCCTAGCACATTACTTAGAAACTCAGAAAATGTTAGGACTCTCTCCTACAGCCAAACCACTTGTGGAGTATGTCCACCACCTTGGAAAGTCAGCTGTCACATTTCAGCCTTACATTGCTTTAGCCTGTAAGTCACTTGGTCATTATACTTCAGCTAGGACACTCCGTTAGTCTGGAAGCATTAGCACAGCCTCTGCAATTTCGAAGCCCATAACCAGTTATTTTTGTCCTAGGAGACAGGCTGCAAAGATTTATAAGTAACTGGACCAACTTTTCCTTTCTGTAATTTTAAGTATGAGAAACTAACTAGTTTTCTCATTTTTTTCATGTAGATTATACACTACTTTTTCATGCAAGCTTGGGTTAAATTTAAGAATGTTTAACAATTTGTTTCATATTGCCAACTTTTTTTCTTTGGAAGACTGCAAGTCTTTAAGTTGTCTAAAATTTTGTTTCATTATTTTGTTTCATTACTTTTTAGACATCACAGTTTGAAAAGTGCTTTCAAGTTCATGCAATTTTGACTGCTAATGTTTCTTTAGGGACTAAGTTGTCAAATAACAGCACTAAAGTCTAGTGGAACAATATTATTGTATTAATTCATAATTTTTTTTTTTTTTGAGATGGAGTCTCACTCTGTCGCCCAGGCTGGAGTGCCGTGGCGCAATCTTGGTTCACTGCAAGCTCCGCCTCCCGGGTTCACGCCATTCTCCTGCCTCAGCCTCCTGAGTAACTGGGACTATAGGCGCCCGCCACCTCGCCTGGCTAATTTTTTTTATGTTTTGGTAGAGACAGGGTTTCACCGTGTTACAGGATGGTCTCGATCTCCTGACCTCATGATCCGCCCGCCTTGGCCTCCCAAAGTGCTAGGATTACAGGAGTGAGCCACCGCGCCCGGCCGATTAATTCATAGTTTAATTTTTCATCTTCTAGATTAGGAATAGAGACAACTGAGAAATTAGGTAATTTACACACACACACACACACACACACACACACACACACACACACACGGCCTCCTTCAGGACCATCCATTGCTGCACGCCACATTATTTGAGCATATAAAAAAATGTTTCAAGCCAGGTGCAGTGACATGTGCCTGTTGTCCCAGCTACTTGGGAGACTAAGGCTGGAAAACTGCTTGAGCCCAGAAGTTCAAGACCAGCCTGGGCAACATAGCAAGACCCCATTTCTTAAAGAAAAAATAAAGTTTCAACCAAACATTCTCTTCTATACTTGCTCACTTAACATTCTTGTTATAGAACCAAATAGCAGAGAAAGCTCCTGTCACAACTGGCATCCATGCTCTCAGGTCACCCAAACAAAAGGGAAGGCCTCAGCCTCACCTGTTCCTCTCATTGATGTGGGACTGACCACCTCGTAGGGTAGGACGTGCAGTCCCACATCTCAGCTTCAGGTCTGTAATTGTTAGACCAGCAGCACGAGATAAATAAGCCTGAAACCCTCATATGAGTCGGATGTCATAGGCCCCGGTCTCCTGAGGACCTGCTTTCCTGTTATTTTTCCATTCTTGTTGGGGCTCGGCAAGAGGAGAGCCTTCTGGTAACCACCACCTATGCAATATTCTCTTTACAGAATGAATGGAATCGCTGAATCATTTCAACCTCAGAAGTAGCTTGGGGTGTTCAATTAGTTATTTGTCCTATTGCTAGCTAAAGTTTCCTTTTCTTTTGCAGACGGCTAGCACCTTGGTTGTGGCTGACTCTAGAATTTCTGGAATCTACAGTTGCATAGCTTCCAATAAAGTTGGGACGGTGGGAAGAAACATAAGCTTTTATATCACAGGTAAGCCACACATCCTATACCCAGAGACAGCCTGGTGACTTCATTCTCTCTTCAGTCTTGTTTGCTTTTAGTGCATTTATAGCTTGAGTGATTTTTTTTAATTCCACAGAATTGTCAAACTTTGAGTGCCTTCATCCTTGCTCTCAGGAATAGAATTCTACCTCATCGGATCTCCTAAAGAGTTATTTCCCCGAATTTTCTTTTAGAGTTATTTGTGTTTGTCTCCCTCCCAGACTGGATTGTGAATTGGGAATCTGTATGCTCATTTTTTCATTCCCTTCAGTACCTAGCACAGGGTCTGGTACATAGCAGTTCAATACCAATCAAGGAAACCAATTATAATGCATACAATATGATGACATCGTTTTTGGTTTTGTTTTTGTTTTAACCAAAAAGTTAATTGTTTCACAACTTAGGTAATTTAGACTTTTTGGGGAATAAGGCTCTATAGCAATCTGAAACTGAGCTTTATTAACAATAGTTAATGTGCTATTTTTTGATAGCATTTAAGAATTTTTAGCCTTAAATATGATGGTCTCTGCAAATCTTAAAAACCTCCAAGGTACACAAATGGCACTCCCTATGTCCCTCAATGGGTACAGGAAGGAAGTAAGTAGCTCAAAGTATAAAAACAATTGCCTGGCTCCACACTCCCCCAATTTCTGAGGAAACATGGGCAGTAGGCCAACTTTCTGGAAACTTCTTACTGAACGGGGCAGGCTGCAGAAATTGCTAGAAGGTCTCCAGAAAGAAATAGACAGGTCCAATTCCATGATACATATGCGTTGTCAGATCACAGGAGCCTCTGGCAAGTTAACCAAGCCCCAGAGAAGCTGTGCCATGGGAGATATCCCTGAGTAGATTCTCATAGAACATCAGGGCTGGCAGGGATTCCAGAGGCTGTTCTGCATCATAGCTCTTGTGTTTTCCAGAGGAGCAAATGGGATTTGGAGAGGTGCATAGCAGAGCTGCTCTAGGCCAACTCAGTCCCTGTCTCTTATGTTAGAGAAGTGGAAGAGAAGTCATCTTTGCATCCATTCCAAATAGGACGTGGCCTTTAGTTAGAGAAGGATTCAGATGGAGATTTCACACAGATTGGTGCTCTAATAAAACTCAGAAGATTTGGACTAGTTAAATACAAAGGTTTGCACTGTCCTTTATATTTGGTTGGAAACAAGTTACTATCTCAACCCATAGTCAGAGTATGTCTGATTTAGAATACAAAAGACTGAACATTTCCTGTTTTGTTCTGAACATTCAATAACTTTGTAACAGTTTAATGAGCACTGTTAAATGGTACAGTTCAACTCTACTGAGCACTGGGAGGCGCATCAATGAAGTCCTGTCTTTCTAGGAACACAGTTCTAACACCAAGGAAACAAAGAAGAAATGTTAAATTACATACATCCTAGTATCAAAATTTATATGCAGAGGTCATGTGACAGATGAGCTTGCTTTCTAAAGCCACCACTGTCCAATAGAGATATAAGTCACAAATACCATTTAAAACTTTCTAGTAACCATGTTTTTTGTAAAGTAAAATTAATTTTATTGAACCCAATATATCCGAACTATTGTGATTTCAATATGTAATCAGTATTTTAAAAAATATTACACTGCTTCAGTTTTTACACTTAAATCAATTTAAATAAAATCAAATAAACTGAATATGCTTCAGTTCCTCTGACACAGTAGCCACATTTCAAGTGCTCAAAAGCCACATGAGGCTCACAGGTACCATATTGGACAGTGCAGCTGTAAGCCTCTGAGAAGGAAGCAGGACCTGAATAGGTAGAGAGAAGGTGGGATTTGAATAGATGGAGACCAAGAGAACAGGCTTGCCCTGACATTTTCAGAGCCAAGACAAGAGTACCAGTGGAGGCCCACAAACCATATGTCTGACTACTGACAAGTTCTACATCAAGCAAATAAGCCATTAAATATGTTTTAGCCCCCTATGGACAAATATACTTTCATGATGACCTGAGAGGTCAGGATCAATTTAGAGCTCTGAGACTCCTCAGATTCCAGACTAGATTGTGGCAGCACCTGGCGGTGCAGAAAAACTAAATCATCCACCTCCCCTCTGCGCCCCTTACCCTGTCCACACTGCAAGGGGCCATGCACCATGTGTGGTGTCTCCCAGCCCACACATCTGAGCTCTGCCCATGCCCCTCACAGACAGTTTCCCTTGGCCACTGCTTGCACAGACCCAAAGGTGTGAAAACTGACAAGCAGTCTGAGCTCAGGAGGCCGGACCTAGGGAAGAAGAGCCAAGCTAGAAGCAGATTTCAATCAGCCTTTTAGGGAATTCTGAGATCCCAGGGACCTGGAGCATGATACAGGAATGAAGTGACACAGGCTGTGGGTAGGCATGCTCACCTGGCCCCATAAACTCTTCACATTGTGGGAAGAGCTATGACCAGAACAGAGCTGCCACAGGGACCCTTCTTGCCTGGGTCTGAGGGCACTACTGGAAGAGGATGTACCAAGAGAAGAGGGAACATCATGCTCACTTCCTTATTAATCAGTGTTCCCAAGGAAAGCTAACCGATGCCTAGCATTAGTCACAGCACCAACATCTGGCTAGCCCAGAGTCTCACTGCTGCATCATATTTCTACCCATGGTGTTGTTGCTGAAAGAGTCCAAGTTGATAAAGGTGATCACCTGCTGAATTCAGGCGGATATTCCCTCCTACCTCTCACCATATTGTACAATGTATAACCATGGTGGGGTAGAAACCTCTTCTAGATCCCAAGGCTTATCCATATTGGACAGGGTCCAAAAGAACAATGAGAATTCAATTCAGACATACCTACTTGAAGCTCACAGTTCTTTTCCTCTAGAAATCCAAGAGCTTTAATCTTAAAACTGACACAAGTTCAGCCAACCAAGCCCTCATTGCCTGGAATATACTTTCCCTTAACCTTTTTCTACCAGTCCTGAAAAGTTCTAGTTTTGATTGTGATATTAGGTTAACTTGCTTACATTCATTATTAGTTTTTAAATAATTATTATCTTTTTCTTACTCAAATCTTTGTCACTAGAGATGAGCATAAAGACTCAGGAATGTTGTACCTCATATGCCTATTTTTTGAAAAAAATGAACATATATTTGTTCAGTGTTTATACTTGACTCAGTGAGGGTAATGCTTTAAAAGTGCCTGTCTGAAATTTTAATGCTCTACTTATCTAGATTTGGATCTTTACTGGTCCTCATTTCAATCATGTTGTCCCTTCTTTAAAATACAATTACTTGGGGCCAGGCACAATGGCTTACACCTGTAAATCCCAGCACTTTGGGAGGCTGAGATGGAAAGATCGCTTGAACACAAGAGTTTGAGACCAGCCTGAGAAACATGGCAAAATTCTGTCTCTACAAAAAGTACAAAAACTAGCTAGGCCTGGTGGCATGTGCCCGTATTCCCACCTACTTGGGATGCTGAGGTGGGAAGATCACTTAAGCCCAGGAGGTCGAGGCTGCAGTGAGCCATGATGGCACCACCACGCTCCAGCCTGAGTGTCAGAGTCAGACCCTGCTGCAAAACAACAACAGCAACAACAACAAAAACAAAAAACAAAAAGACTTTTAGTTGCCTTCCAAACTGATGAAAATGGTAAACTGTGGCCATTAGAATCCTTGACCGCTTCGACTCCAAACTTTGGCACACACTTATACATAGCATCCACTTGAAACAAGCAAAGCTTCCTGGTAACCGTTCACTCTCTTTTTAAATAATGTTATTTCCACTCTTCAGTGGCAGTAGAGCCTTCTTTATTTTTTTACCCAACAAATGAGATCCCTGGCATCCTTTTAAATTCCTATGCTTGTCCCTTTCATGAACTTAATGCACATGCCTGATCCAATTGAGTCGAAATATCTACCCCCAAGTATGCACCTTTATAAATAGATTACACTGTCATCTAACCCTGGGTCGAATGCCTCTTCTGAGCAAGGGTTGATTCTTCTCCATGACACCTCATAAGATGCCATGGATGTGATAATATGTTAGATGGATGAGTATTATTTGGTAATGATGATGACTGTGCTGAATTCGCCACAGATACTTAAGTGTGGGAAGATTTCTTGTTTTCACTTTGAGGGTTAGAAGGCAATTCTTTCTTGGTCTGTTTTTGTACTCAGACTAAAAAAAAATCAACATGAATTAAGGAGAAAAATCCCTCCGGGTTCATTAAACAGTTGAGGACATTTTATTTATCGTCTTCCATGGATCAAAAGAGAATACCAAAGGGGTGAGACTGAGAAATAGTCATTTCCAAGAGGCTGTCTGATAACATAACAAATTAGCTTCAGTGACCATGTCCCCTATATAAGAAATGGGCCTCAAAACGAATTTGGTTCTTTGCTTTTCCTATGTGTGTGTTTTTGCTGTTTGGCTGGCACTCAGCATGACTATGGGTGTGTTAGCAATTACTGAGGGTGAAACAGGAACAGCACTGCTTTATCTCCCTGGCTTCCCAATGTCACTGAATGCGTTTTATTTTGAGATTCCTGGTGGTGCTTGGCAAAGATAAACAAAATCTTCCATCAGGAAACCTGTGAGCTATTTCCACAGGAAGTTTCAAATCACTAAAGTAAATAGAAACTCTCTACACGATCTCAATGGTGTTACTTGGGCTCACTTGGGTTCTACCTACCAGGATGAGAGCTCATAAATGGAAAGTCTGTGGTCTTGTAAGAGCTGATGGCAACCAGTGCACAATACCTCTGCTCTAGTATCTGTGTAAAAGTTGATGGCTGATGTTTTACTCCTCATGCTTGGAAAATGTCCCAAATATAAAAAGATGCTGAATTAGAGCAACTATTTCTGACACCTTATTGTTATCTTAAAAGTGACTGTCAGCTGCCCCTCCTGCATCTTCTGGCACATTCTTAGATTTTCATTTTAAAAGCAGGAAAACCTCCACTGGTATCCTCTCTCCTCAGCCACTGACGGCTTCGTAAGTCACTGTTACGCCCCGCTCCCAGGTTCCAAATGAATACTTTGGCATTTCTTCAGACGTGACACTTTATAATAAAGCCAAAGCTCAGAAAAATCAGAAAAACAAGCAAAGTGAGATTTAGGAAAGAGTTGATATGATATCTAATTTTGGACTATTGTCCCCTTAACGTTTAAAGGTTTCTTTATAGCTTTGTGTGCAAAGTATAATAATAATAATAGCATAACATAATGCTTTTCATCTTCAAAGCACTTTGTAAGATGTTGGCCCAAATTCTTTGCTCAAATGCAGATACACCACTAGTAGTAAGCAATGGGAAGGTTTTGAGAGCGGGTCAGTTCAGGGCCGGCAGACTTTTTAAAATCCTCCCGTGAGATTGGCCAAATGATACTAAGGAACTCTCAGCCCCAAAGTGGACTGACAGCCCAGGTGAGGCATGCAGGGGGGAAGAGCTCATGGGGTGTTGACAGAGACACCTGGGAGATGGGGGTGAAGGTGCCCAAAATATCTGAGACAGGTCTCAGTCAATTTAGGAAGTTTATTTTGCCAAAGTGGACAGCCTCAGGAGCTCCTGACAACATGTGCCCAAGGTGGCGATTGAGGTACAGCTCAGTTTTATACATTTCAAGGAGACATGAGACGTCAATCAATATGTGTAAGATGTACACTGGTTCCGCCTGGAAAGGCGGGACAATTCAAAGTGGGGAGGGGGTTTCCAGGTCATAGATAGGGGAGTTCTGTTCTTTTGAATTTCTGATTAGCCTTTCCAAAGGAGGCAATCAGGTATGCATTTATCTCAGAGAGCAGAGGGATGACTTTGAAGAGAACGGGAGGCAGGTTTGTGCTAAGCAGTTCTCAACTTGACTTTTCCCTTTAGCTTCATGATTTTGGGGTCCCAAGACTTACTTTCCTTTCACAAAGATTAGCTGGAGATCGACATTGGAGAAAATGGCTTTTAATGATATAGCCACCTTCAGAACATGTTTAAAATATTTTTGAGAGTAAATTTGATTTTTAAAATTATTCTCTTTACCCCTCTATCACCCCCATTTTAGAATCTGGCAACTCTTCCAGATTAGTTGTCCACATTTTCAGAAGAAATCTTTGCTCTCTCAGGTCTGAGTAGAACCATCCCCATGAAAGAAGTCCTGAGTAAATCAGCGGGCTCCTCTCTGGCCCACTGTGCCACTGGCCCACTGTGGTCTTTGCTGGACCAGGGCAAGTAATCTGGGACAGGAGCAGGAGGAGGGTAGTGAATAACAGTTACTTCTCACTGCAAAAGTCTAGGGCTAAAGTGGAATTGATTGGCACTTTACCTAGGACTTCCTATTTTCACTGGTTTGCAAACTATTTTGGATAAGTTTGACCATAAGTGTGCCTTTGGTTTTTAGGACGAATTGCTCTTATGTTACTTCACTATTTTGCCCACTTGCCAGTGTCACTTGCCAGTAGTAGTACTGTGCATCATTTTAAAAATAGGAAATGAGGCCGGGCACAGTGGCTTATTCCTATAATCCCAGCACTTTGGGAGGCTGAGAAGAATGGATCACCTGAGGCCAGGAATTCGAGATCAGCCTGGCCAACATGGTGAAACCTCGCCCCTACCAAAAAGTACAAAAATTAGCCCAGTATGGTGGTGCATGCCTGTAATCCCAGCTACCCTGGAAGCTGAGGCAGGAGAATAGTTTGAACCCTGAAGGTAGAGGTTGCAGTGAGCTGAGATCATGCCACAGCACTCCAGCCTGGGCAACAAAGCGAGACTCTGACTCAAAAAAAAAAAAAAAAAAGAAATAAAGTTAACACCCAAGTTGGAAAAAACATGCCACTTTGAAGAGTAACTTCAGGTAAATCAAGAGAAAATGCATCCTAATAACTCTTCTCTTTTGCATTTCCTACCTCACTTCTGATAGAATGAACTTAGTTGATTCCCACCTGCTATGTTTGCTCATTTACCTTAAATACTCATTCTTTTTAATGCTGATGCTGAGAGAATTTGTGCACAAATGATTCTTAAGATCTTTGAATATCTCATTAAAAGACACTGATTTTTCTGTGAACTGAAATTCTTTATTCTTATTTTATAGATGTGCCAAATGGGTTTCACGTTAACTTGGAAAAAATGCCGACGGAAGGAGAGGACCTGAAACTGTCTTGCACAGTTAACAAGTTCTTATACAGAGATGTTACTTGGATTTTACTGCGGACAGTTAATAACAGAACAATGCACTACAGTATTAGCAAGCAAAAAATGGCCATCACTAAGGAGCACTCCATCACTCTTAATCTTACCATCATGAATGTTTCCCTGGAAGATTCAGGCACCTATGCCTGCAGAGCCAGGAATGTATACACAGGGGAAGAAATCCTGCAGAAGAAAGAAGTTACAATCAGAGGTGAGCACTGCAACAAAAAGGCTGTTTTCTCTCGGATCTCCAAATTTAAAAGCACAAGGAATGATTGTACCACACAAAGTAATGTAAAACATTAAAGGACTCATTAAAAAGTAACAGTTGTCTCATATCATCTTGATTTATTGTCACTGTTGCTAACTTTCAGGCTCAGAGGAGATGCTCCTCCCAAAATGAGTTCGGAGATGATAGCAGTAATAATGAGACCCCCAGCCCCCAGCCCTGGGCCCCCCATTCAGGCCAAGGGGGCTGCTCCGGGGGGCCGACTTGGTGCACGTTTGGATTTGGAGGATCCCTGCACTGCCTTCTCTGTGTTTGTTGCTCTTGCTGTTTTCTCCTGCCTGATAAACAACAACTTTGGATGATCCTTTCCTTCCATTTTGATGCCAACCTCTTTTTATTTTTAAGTGTTGAAGCTGCACAAACTGAATAATTTAAACAAATGCTGGTTTCTGCCAAAGATGGACACGAATAACTTAATTTTCCAGCTCAGAATGAGTACAGTTGAATTTGAGACTCTGTTGGACTTCTGCCTGATTTTATTTTGGACTATTTCATCTGCTCTTGATTTGTAAATAGCACCTGGATAGCAAGTTATAATGCTTATTTATTTGAAAATGCTTTTTTTTTTTTTTTTTTTTTTTACATTAAGCACATTAATCTTGAACCGGAGCTTCTAAAATGGGCCCCAGGGGTGCAAGATGTTGGTGTAATTCAGAGATAGTAAAGGTTTATCGCAGCGTGAATTATAAGAGTCCATCCAAATCAACTTCCCCTCCCTCCTTTCGTGCGATCCAGGTAATTATGCAGTTAGTGCCACAGCAGACTAGCCTAGCAAAGGGTTTGCTCCTTGCTGTCTCTGACTGCACTGCACAGCTATTGATGGCACCTGAAAGAAAGTGGATCATGCCTTAATTTTAAATATTCCTGTCCTCCGGTTATTATGTTAAGGAACTCTATCATGTTAAAGTGACAGTAATTCAAAGGTGTACCACAATCAATTTATCAAGGAAATAAAGGCTATTGCAACCAGAGAATTAATGCATTCTTCTAAATGTAAATTTAAAATTTGCCCATTAAAAAGGTCCACTTTCCCCATATGCAAATGTTAATAGGATTTTTATGGGGATTAAGAAACGACAAAACTGTAGAAGCAAAATTCAAAGTAATTTTAAAAAAACACACCAGTTTTAAATCAAGAGAAGTTGTAATTTCTTGTTTTAAGCTTGCATTTGAGGGAAAATGACTTTTTCACCAATTTAATATGCATTGTTCTGTTGTTTTTATTTATGATTGATCATTATATGTGACTTGCATAAACTATTTAAAAAAAAAAACAAAAACTATAATGACCAAAATAGCCATGGCTGAGAAACACAGTGGCTGGACAGTTCAATAGGAGGTGACAATATGACAACTTCTCAAGCTTGGGAACTCACCAGACTGTTTCCTCCTTTAGGTAACAGACTCTGTCCCACGGCTAAACTTGTCTTTCACGTGGGAATTGCTTTTGTCAAACGTGAAAGAGTAAACAATAGCATTTCCCCAGAATGCCAGTTTTATGGAGCCCCAAATGCTCTGAAAACAATTAGTAACCTGGAAGTTGTCAGCCCAAAGGAAAGAAAAATCAATTGTATCTTGAAATTTTACCTATGGCTCTTTGGCCTGGCGTCTTTGTTCATTATAAGTTAGTGTGTTCCTTCAGGAAACAATGCCTTAATACCATAGAACGCGGGGGCCTTAATAGCTGCTAACATTAAAAAAGCAAATAGGATGATTGAGGGATCCTTATGAAAACAAAATGGTGAATTGGACATGCAAAACCTACCATTTCCTTCCCCCTGTTGCAATTTTTGTGGGGAGGGGAGGATGTTAGTATTTACAAAAGATGATTTTAAGAACTTCCAAGAGATGAGTAGAAGAATTCCAGAGAGTGGTAGTTGTTCACTGTGTAATTAATCCTTCCGGAGAGTCTTTTTTTTTTTTTAAAAGAAACTTTTGGGTGGGTTTTGTTTTTTATTACATACCCTAGGGGTATGTTAACCTGGGGTATGAAGGGAGGTGAAGATAACAGAAGGGGTGGGGGGAAGAAGAAAAAAGGAGCCTAAAATGGGGAATAATTGAAATGGAATAGGGGGTGTGAGGCTGGTTCCTCAGTCCCCATTCCAAACGGAGGATAGAAGCTGTGTATTTATGTGACCTGGCAGATCTCTGGGGCCCTAACACTGTAAAGTAAAATAACCTGGTGGGCAGCTATCTTTGGCTACTGATAACCAGCACAAATGTCTGTTAATTCTGATTTTCTCAGTTTGAAGGGATCAGCTACACTGTTAAACTTTGGAAAGCCACTACCTACTTCCATTAAGTAACTTAGGTTTTGAAATATGGGTTCAACGCACCAGCCTTATTCAAAACGTCAAAATAGATTATATATAATGTATAAAGTAAGAATTGACAAAATATGATTCCTGGGTTGATTGATCATTTAGAAACTATCCAAAAATGAGACTTTTAACATAGAACATTTTTCAGAAATGGGTACAAAGAAAAATGCATATTACTGTACATTTCAGAATGTTTATGTGAACCTTGTATTTAATTGAGAGTCCCATGTACATTCTGCAGCCTTTTTGCTGCTTCTATCATCTGAAGTTTGTGTAGTACAAATAAGGCCTTTGAAATTCTTAATGACATTTATGTTAAAATGTTCTCTTCTCTTTAAACATCGTTTTCCAATCTACCTGTCAGGGAGTCCAAATCGTGTCTGTGTTGATGATGTTATACTTTGTAGCTAGAAAAACTATTTTAGTGTTGTGGGCCCTATATTCAGACTTCCTTTTTATAAGACCTATGGGCAGTGATAGATTATTTTATCATATTAATGCATGGGAAATAGTGTGCTGAGGAAGCTATTAAAAGTATAACTCAGTGAATTGGGTCTGAGTTTTAAATAAGATATTTCAAAATTGGCTTGCCACCGTAAAAGAGACTAAAAAATAATATGATACGGTTCTTTATGGTCTTGTCATGTTTCGCTGATATGTTTGGGGTCTTTACTATGTAAAAAAAAATGCCAAAATTGTAATGAGCAAGCATGTACAAGTAGTCATAAATCAAAGGTTTTAAACAGGACTGCAGTTTCAATTAGGAAAAGCTGTTTGACAGATAGCACCCAATGTAAAAACAAAAATATTGTAATGGTTCTGCGTAGGGGGCAAGACAAGATAGGAAAGACATGCTCAAAGAGGCAAAAGGATCATTGCTATCATTCATTCCATGCTAGTTTGAAGAAGTTTCTATACATCAGAGCACTTCCTTCAACACACTTTTTTGGCCTTCAGATTTCATTTTTTACAAAATGAGAAGACTAATGATAAGCTATAGAAATCAAAATTTATTGAGAAATCTGTTTCTCCTAACAGGTAGTAACCCTGCCATGATATACTTCTTCAACAATGTTATAAAAGTTATATGATAATACACATTTTAACCTGGGATTTCTAAATTGCTTTAACAAATGCTAATCCTGAGAGTTGCCCTGCAGGACTCAGAAAGGTTTGGGGACTTGGCAGAACCCTGCAGGGACATGGAATCAAGGCCATTGCAATGTATCATCTTTGTAGCATCGTCATCACTCCTAAGCTGCCTTCACAGTTTTAGTACACTAAGATGAGGAAATCAAAAACGGGCAGAGAAAGCTCATACTGTATAATTGAAGACAGTAACAGAGAACGTGTCAGTTATGCCAAAACTCTTTTGATTTCTGTTCCAGGATCTCCAACAAGAGGGGAAAGGAATGACTTGGGAGGGTGGGAAAGATATTAGGAGTTGTTTTTATTTTTTACCTTGGAAGCTTTAGCTACCAATCCAGTACCCTCCTAACTAGAATGTATACACATCAGCAGGACTGACTGACTACTTCATTAGAGATATACTGTACTCATTGGGGGCCTTGGGGGTACTGCTGTTCTTATGTGGGATTTTAATGTTGTAATGTATTGCATCTTAATGTATTGAATTCATTTTGTTGTACTATATTGGTTGGCATTTTATTAAAATAAATTGTATTGTATCATATTTGTATGTTTTAAAAGAAAATAATATAAAATACAATATTTGTACTATTATATAGTGCAAAAACTACAAATCTGTGCCTCTGCCTCTTGAATTAATTCTTTGGTTGCTTGCATTTGGGAAGGGAATGGAGGAAGGAAAGAACCAATAAAGCTTTCAAAGTTCAAGAAATTCTCCTGTTTGGTCTGCTGCCTTACAACTTAGGTTACTGACAGCTGAGTAACACAAACATGCCCCCACAAATACATCAATAAAAACACACAAAATTGTATTAGCCTATCACTACAACACTATATATAAAAATTCATTACAAGACTATACACAAAATCATGTTTTTTATTTATATCTCCTGAACTATTATGCAAAATCCTTGAGTTTTAGAAAAGCTTCTCTCAAAAAAGGAAGGAAACTAGCTAGCTAGGCAAAAGCCTTTGTATTGAAATCTAAAAATATAAAATCTAGTCCTTGATTTCACTATGTTGTAATAAATTTCAATTTACTGTAGCATCTTATTAAAGTGGAAGCAGCAGGTTAATGATTGAAGAGAAAGTGAACAAAATGCAAATGAAACCTAATAGTTGAGTTTTGCTGTTTCTCTGTATATTTTAAATGTTGATATGCATAGACAATATGAGAATAAAGTTGACGAGTAATCACAACTCCCTTTCTTTCTTCATTAGATCAGGAAGCACCATACCTCCTGCGAAACCTCAGCGATCACACAGTGGCCATCAGCAGTTCCACCACTTTAGACTGTCATGCTAATGGTGCCCCCGAACCTCAGATCACTTGGTTTAAAAACAACCACAAAATACAACAAGAGCCTGGTAAGAGACTTTTTTCTTGAATTTATTATTTCTCATCTTTCATCAGTCCCTTTTTCCTTTAACATTCCCGTCACCTGCTTCCAGTATGTGTAGACCTACTTGCTGATAGAGCCCCAGACACCCGGATCTGGTTCATGCTGATACCAACTTCCAGTGAGGAATATTTGGGCCAGTTCCTATGCAGACCATATTCCTAACCCATAGAAAGATCCTGCAGAATCTATTCAGCTGGAATGCTTTAAATAGTGCCTTCAGAAAGAAATGAGAGGAGCCATGTAGAAAATGATTCAGTTCACCATGACAGCTGGGAAAGTGAGGAGTTAGTTTCTTGGCTTTGAGGTATTGCAGAACTTGGAACAACTGGCATATATGAAGTTCAGAAAAGGAGATTTACAATCTCTTTTTCTTTTTTTCTTTTTTTTGAGACGGAGTCTCACTCTGTCGCCCAGGCTGGAGTACAGTGGCACCATCTCGGCACACTGCAACCTCCACCTCCCGGGTTCAAGCGATTCTCCTGCCTCAACCATCCAAGTACTTGGACAAGTAACTGGGACTACAGGCATGTGCTGACACCACGCCAGGCTAATGACCACGCCAGGCTAATTTTTGTATTTTTAGTAGAGACAAGGTTTCACCATGTTGGCCAGGCTGGTCTCAAACTCCTGACCTCAGGTGATCCGCCTACCTTGGCCTCCCAAAGTGCTTATAGGCACATGCCACCCAGTCCAGCCGATTTACAATCTTTTAAATTCATCTACGCAGATGTTAAGGATTTGGTAAAAAGAAGACTTTTTAAATTATGTTTGATCGTACTAGTAAAAAAAAAATAAATCTACACGAGTGGGTATAGGTTTATTTTCTTTCAACAATACATATAGTGCTATGGGGTCCATGGGGAATTGGTTCCAGGACCTTCTGCAGATTCCAAAATGCACTGATGCTCAAGTTCCTTATATAAAATGACATAGTATTTGCATATAACCTACACATATCTTCCTGTATACTTTAATCATCTCTAGGTTACTTTTATTTTTATTTATTTATTTATTTATTTTTGAGACGGAGTCTCACTCTGTCTCCCAGGCTGGAGTGCAGTGGCTCGATCTCGGCTCACTGCAAGCTCTGCCTCCCAGGTTCAAGCGATTGTCATGCCTCAGCCTCTCGAGCCAGCTGGGACAACAGGCGCCCGCCACCACACCCAGCTAATTTTTTTTTCTTTTTTTTTCTTTTTTTTGAGACGGAGTCTTGCTCTGTTGCCCAGGCTGGAGTGCAGTGGTACGATCTCAGCTCACTGCAAGCTCCGCCTCCCGGGTTCACGCCGTTCTCCTGCCTCAGCCTCCCGAGTAGCTGGGACTACAGGCACCCGCCACCTCGCCCGGCTAATTTTTTTGTGTTTTTAATAGAGACGGGGTTTCACTGTGTTAGCCAGCATGGTCTCGATGTCCTGACCTCGTGATCCGCCTGCCTCAGCCTCCCAAAGTGCTGGGATTACAGGCGTGAGCCACCGCACCCGGCTCTAGGTTACTTTTAATACCTAATACAATACCTACACATCAATTCTGTGACAAGTTCTTTGGTTTGTGGAACTTTGTGGAATTTTTTGTTGAATTCACAGATGCAGAATCCACAGATACGACTGACTGTACTCTTTTTTTTTTTTTTTTTTGAGATGAAGTCTTGCTCTGGGCTGACTGTACTCTTAAAAACAACGAGACTTAAACCATTAAGTATAAACACTATTGCCTGCCTCATAATTCTGTGGTTAAATAAGAGTACATTGAAATTATTTATGATTTTAATTGATATTCATGTTTATTAAAAATAAAATTGCCATTTATTTGCAATATTCCAACAACCTAAATCAAATAAATAGCAATATGGAGTAGTCCTTAAATGTGAGTCCTCTACACAAAACGAAACCTCCATTTGAGTTTGATGCACAGAATGGGGTTGTGGTATAATAACTCCAAGTTTTAAGATATCTGCAAATGTCTTAGAGAGACCTTACACTGAGCAGGTTCAAAACCAATCACATCACTTCATTTTTCTCCATAAAGTAGCACCTCCTCTTATACTGACATCAGATATTTAATCATCCAAACTAGAAGGTGATGGCCTCTCCTTTACCCTCTTCATCTAATCAATCACCAGACTGAGCAGATTACACCTACTAAATACTAAATACTTCTCAAATCCATTCCTTTCTCTGCTTTCCCATTATTCTCTTGGTCCTGGCACTCATTACCTAGCCTCTGAACACCTTCAGTGGTCTCCACACTTGTCTCCCTATCTATCTTTGTATTTACTTTCCACACAACAGTATAAAATGCAGCTGTGAACATGTCATTTCTCTGCTTCAATTCTTCCGCCGGCTCCAACTCTTCATCTCTAACACACTTTGATGAAGTTCAAGAATCTGACAGAGAATGCCCTCAACATTTGGCCCCTGCCTACACCTCCAATGTTATGCTCAGCGTCACCTGCCTTGAACTTTCTAACTTTATATTCCAGCAATGCCAAACTCTCGTAGATCACTGCAGACATGATGCTGCTTAAACTCCCTGTGCTTTCTTTGGTTCTTGTATACTCTCTGCCTGGAGTAGCTTCTCTTTCTTTGTCTCATCCCTTAAAACCCAGATTGGGTGTTCTCTCTCCAACTAGGCCTTACACAACTCCCACAGATGGGAGGCAGTTCCTCCACGAGTCTTTATTACTTGTAACTGTTTCTACTTCTCTCTTACTGAGATTTTTAAAAATCATCAGTTCACATGTGTCTGTATTACCTATGCATATTTCTACTCCTCCCTTATGTATTTTTTAAATCATCAGTTCATATATGTCACCCCTCCAGTGGGCAGATAGTTTCTTATTTGTCTTATTTATGTCTTGTCTTTTTATCTTCAGAACCTAACACAGTGCTTGACAATTAATAAATAAATATTCTATGCATGAATGAATGACTGGTTTTCAGAAAATCTTAGGCTATCCTTAGCAAGCTCATAGTGGTAGCACAAATGCCTGGATTTGGCATGGTGGTGGGGCCCATATCAAGGAAGTTTTAAAGCTGAAGGGACCTTTAGAATATCTTTAGTCTGACATGTAGAACGGAAAACTTAGGCTCAAAGAGGTAAAGTGATTTGCCCATGATGACACACTACTAAGATGGGTAGTTTTGTGGAAAACTAGTCCCTCGAGATGTTCTACCAGAATAAAAGGATGAATAAATACATGAGTAAATAGCTTGTGAAAGAAACTGGTAAATTGTACTAAGTTTTTTTTGTTTGTGTTTGTGTTATTTTGTTTGTTTGTTTTTGAGATATAGTCTTGCTCTGTCGCCCAGACTGGAGTGCAGCGGCGCAATCTTGGCTCACTGCAACTTCCACCTCCCGTGTTCAAGTGATTCTCCTGCCTCAGCCTTCCAAGTAGCTGGGATTACAGACACCATGCCTGGCTAATTTTTTGTATTTTTATTAGAGATAGGGGTCTCACCATGTTGGCCAGGCTGGTCTTGAACTCCTGACATCAAGTGATCAACCCACCTTGACCTCCCAAATTGTTGGGATTACAGGCGTGACCCACTGCACAGGGCCAACTGTGCTAAGTTCTGTATTCCTCAGACTTACTTGATCACAAAATCTATTTTATGAAAGATTAGTGTAGGATATTGAGTGATTCTTTGAAAGAAGTAAATGTGAAATAAGTTCAGTTTTTATAATTTGGAAGTGGGTTAAAGAATCAAAGTTAAAATGATTTGGGAAGCTTAGGACCATTATGAGACTAGAGGAGAGACAAGACAAGAGAATGTGCCCTGGCAGCTACCACATGCAAAAAAAACGAGTCCAGTGTGCTGGGGAGATGAGGGCTTGAGTCCTAGCATGGCCCTCATGAGTCATACAAGAATTTGGGCAACTCGACTGGGTGCGGTGGCTCGTGCTTGTAATCCCAGCACTTTGGGAGGCCGAGGTGGGCGGATCATGAGGTCAGGAGTTTGAGATCAGCCTGGCCAACACAGTGAAACCCCATCTCTACTAAAAAAATACAAAAATTAGCTGGGCGTGGTGGTGGGCACCTGTAATCCCAACTATTCGGGAGGCTGAGGCAGGAGAATCGCTTGAACCCGGGAGGCGGAGGTTGCAGTGAGCCCAGATTGTGCCACTGCACTCCAGCCTAGGCAACAGAGCTAGACTCCGTCAAAAAAAAAAAAAAAAAAAGATTTTGGGCAACTAGTTATTCCTTACTCTCAGAGTCCTTTTTCCCTTATTTATAAAACTGGGATAATTCTGACCACACAGGGATGTGGTGAGGTTTAAATGAGTTAACATAAGCTGGCCCATGGTCATGGTTTGTTCAATGCTGTCTTCTGACCCACCTCATTTATACAGAAATTGTCCAGTGAGTTGGCAGAATGCACTGGAAGGCATCAGAGTTAATTAATAAGTTCAAATGTCAAACAACCCTAAAACAAAATAATACAGATTCTCCCCCCACCACACCCTACCACCCAGCTTTCTCTGATCTTCTGAGGGCCAGAAGAAGAATGTCTAAAAATAGGTCCACTTTGGGAGGCCAAAGTGGGTGGATCACAAGGTCAGGAGATCGAGACCATCCTGGCTAACATAGCGAAACCCCGTCTCTACTAAAAATACAAAAAAAATAGCCAGACGTGGTGGCAGGCACCTGTAGTCCCAGCTGCCTGGGAGGCTGAGGCAGAAGAATGGCGTGAACCCAGGAGATGGAGCTTACAGTGAGCTGAGATTGCACCACTGCACTCCAGCCTGGGCGACTGAGCAAGATTCCATCTCAAAAAAAAAAAAAAAAAAAGGTCATATAAATTCTTACACAAAATATTCTATAAATATCCTTCTAGGATGCTACTGTTTAGCACTTATTAAGTTCAGCTATACCAGTCATCAGTTTTCTTTCTCTTGCTTCCTTTTATTCACCTTTAGGAAAGGGCTTTCTTAATTTTCTGGAGATAATCTTCCACATGTATATAGTTT